TAAGGATTGGGAAAAAAAAAAAAAAAAAAAATAAAAAAAAATAAATAAAAATAAGAAACTTAATGCTCCCTGTTGAAAAAAAAAGGAAGACACTTCTCCCCCTGCTCCCTTTTGTTCAGAGTCTCTTTCTCTGCCTTCTTCAGATGTATATAAATCTTTGACTAGGGCTTCAGAGCCTTCTTTCTGCAATGCACATATGGAGGGAGAAAGCACCCTTATGTCCCTCAACCTGTGAGAGAGTAAAACACCTCTGGAGCCTCCGCTCAAATTTATGGGCAGTGTGTTTCTCTTCCAGATAAAGCCAACAGAGGAGGTTTCCCCAGTTACCAAGATAAAATTCAGATGAACTGTATGTGTGGCAAAAGGTGTTACCCATTCCTCTTACTTAAGGACTAAGGATTGTTTATATTGAAAACATGTACGTAAGGGGTTGGATCTGCTTGGCTGTGTAGGGGGTGAGTTGCCTTTCTGTCTTTGCAATCCCTTTGCAGATGCCGTGATGCACATCACATTCTGGTTTAATACTTATTCAACAATAAAACTGGTTTATTTCTCTACTCCCTTTGTGGAGGGGTTTTCTGCATTGCATAAGATTTTTGTTTTTAATATTTCTCCCGCAGTGGATACATTCACTGTTTTAAGTTTGATTTTTTAAGTTTAACTTTTTAATTAGAATCAAAGCGAACGTAGCCATTTATTTCGGGCTTTGTCTTCCAAAGTTAAATTATAAAGTGAAATTGAGTTGTACTGTTTTTTTATAGAACATAATTACCAAAAAATAATCAGGTCTGTTGTAAGAGTGTGGTGACAGTCTTGAAGATAGATAAACACATTCCTTTTATCAGTTAGTTGCATTCCTTTATAATCACTAGAGTCACAGAACACTGTTACCTATTTCAACTGTTTCCCCACCAGTGTTTATTCTTAATATAAATATTTTATAAAAGAAAATACCATAGAGAAGCTGAGTTTATTTTAGTTCAGTTAATCTTTCTACTTCATTTTTTCTGATATAAATCAAGTTCTATGTAGAACCAGGTCTTCTGAACCATTGTTCCAAAAATGATTAATGTTAATAAGTTATACCTGATGGATTTGCCTAATTGCACACAATTACTATACACATCTCATGGATTTGACTTAAATTCCAGGTGAATTTTGCCTTAGAGAGAAGATTGGGAAGTAACTAAATTCAGGTAACTGAAGTTTGAAACTCATTTTTTAAAACAAGCAAAACCTCTAGTAAATACATTTGAATTTATTTTTAAAGCAGTTATAAAAATAAAATGGAAGTCTATTCTTTGTTTATATACATATATTCAGAAAATAATCTCTCACCGTTGACAATAACCATGTACTCAGTTTTCTAGTGGTAAGCTATACCAAATTCCTGACTGAATTCCCTGATAAGATTAAAGCAAGTAGGAAAACAGATTCCATGATTTAGAATCAATAGCAGCCCTTCATAGCTAAATATCATAGCTAATGTCTGCCAAAACAACCAGCCAAAAAGAAGAAAAGAGAAACATTCAAGCAGTAATAAAATATACATAGTCCCTCAATTTTGATGACATTTTAAGTTCCTTTAAAATCTGAGTCTGATTCTTATTATCCAAGAAACAGAATGTAAGTGTTAAAGCATTGAAAACCAGATGAAATTATTTCTCACTGTGACAGATTTCACCACAGTTAACATTTATTTAACCATGAACTTCCAGTGACTATCCTAATTCTCTACCTTGCATTTTAATTAAGCTAGAGCAACGTCCTTTACCTTTCTTTCTTTTTTTTTTTTAAAGATTTTATTTATTTATTTGAGAGAGAGAGAGTGAGAGAGAGAAAGAGCACAAGAGGGAAGAGCGGGAGAGGGAGAAGCAGACTCCCCGCCGAGCAGGGAGCCCGATGCGGGACTTGATCCCGGGACTCCAGGATCATGACCTGAGCCGAAGGCAGTCGCTTAACCAACTGAGCCACCCAGGCGCCCCGTCCTTTACCTTTCTGAGTTAAAAGATTTTGAGGTATTTCAAACTGTGACTCTTCTAGAAATAATATCCAAAATTCTAAATAAAAAGAGTAACAGAATAATTAATGTACTTCATCGCAGAACAAAACCAGTGCAACTCCAAACAAGAAAATTGATGTACCACGTCTGACAAATCTAAAGGTCATGTGTCAACTTCAAGAAGCTCTGGTAAAACACTTGACATGCTCTGATTATTATTTAAAGAAACATGATGTGTCCCAAACATAATATCAAATCTGTGACATTTCTTTTTCTCTGCTGTGTCACTGTGATTTGAATATGTTTCTTTTCCCCTTAAACAAAGTCATCTGTATTTATGGATATCATGATTTAAGTAAGCATTATATGCTAATTTTGCCTTATTTTCTTTAAGTAATTATGTTGAGCTAGTATAGTCACTTTGGTGGTTTTATTTCACTATTTTTATTCTAGAATGTTTAACATACTATAAAAATGGTCTAAGAAAAAAGTATCAGTAACCGATCTATAACTATTCACCCTATAAAATGAAAAAGCATTAGTGTAATTCAGACCTCAATAGCGTAAAATTGCCCAAACAACACAAGTCTAGTCTACTATCAACCTTTTACACCCAAAGACAAAACTGGTAGAAAAGGATACATGTCTTTATTGTCTTAAAAATTCCAATATTGAGAAAATTACAAATTAAATTACATTTAATTCCTCAGAAATGAGAAAGTATAAGTTAAAGTTCCATCAGGTAATAAAAATATTGTCTAAGTGGTATTTATACTATTACTATCATTTAGGCATCTAGAGTAATAACCATATCAAACTTAGAAGCCAGATCTAATTTTGTGAGGCCCGAACTACATGTCATGTTTCAGTCCATGTTTACTCTTCTTCCTTACAGTGGTGCCTCAAAGTTCCTTGTTGTTAGCTTTGTAAAGTAAATGCAGTTTGGTTATTAACTCTTGGGAATTTTGCATAATGGTTTAATACCTATTCTTTCATACAAGTTTAATCAAAGGATTTTGCCCTCAGTGCTTAGTAGAGATTTTTCAATAAAGAAAACATAGTATCCATTGATAGCTATTGTACTAACAATCATCTCATTTTACAACTTCTGCTTGATTATTTTTATTTTCTTCTGTATGTTTTTCTTCTCATGGTTAGTAGTAGTAATATACATTATAATAAATACGATTTATCTATTTTTTTAATTTAAATTCAATTAGCCAATATATAGTACATCATTAGTTTTAGACGTAGTGTTCAATGATTCGTCAGCTGCCTATAACACCCAGGGCTCATCACATCACGTGCCCCCCCTTAATGCCCATCACCCAGTTACTCCATCTCCCCACCCACCTCTCCCTCTGCAACCCTCAGTTTGTTTTCCTGAGTCAAGTCTCTCAATAAATATGATTTAGAACAAGTTTTTGTTATTGTTGTCATTTCTAATAAAATCATATATTAACTTTTTAAGAGGGACCAAGGAAGTCCTGTCAAAACAATCTTTCAAAGTATCCTCTGTCCCAGGCTTTAACATGAGTCGCTGCCTGTATCTACACAATTATTTGCTTTATAGGTTAGCCCCAGCAAATAAGAAAAGCCCAGTCCAGTTAGTGATGGCCACTCAGCAAGTTGCGAGCTCTGGAATAACAAAATCATTCCAATATTGTACCAGGCTAAATACAGTTTTTAAGGTAAATCTAATACAAAAATCAAAATCGCGTGGCAAATTGTGAAGTCAGGATAATATTTCTCTTAACTTTTTTTTTTTTAACATAATGGAGTTATAGATGAACACGGGAATCCAGTAAAAGTAGGGCTCTGCCTCACCCATGCCATGTATTATCTCTGTTGCTGTGAGCACATTACTGAACATCTTTTCTCTTGTCTCATGTATAAAATGGAGGTAAAGTAAGACCTACCTCACTGAGAGGCACTAACATTAAAGAGATGATATATAAAGCCTATAAAATGGGTCCTGAAACATAATCAAAACCAAAATATTATCATGTGATTTTATATTAAATATATATGTATTAAGATGTTATCTGTTATGCATTATAAAAATTATGTATTAAAATTTAATTATATGTATTATAAAGATGATATTAATTGTATGTTATATATAATAGGCAATATGTTTATAGAAATATATGTTATATTAAATATTTATTATATTAAATATTTATTGTAAAATGTTATTCTTAATGTTATTTTAATCATTGCTATTTCTTTTCTCTCCTTAGTACCATGTGTCCTGTCCTAGTTACCTACTAAGAACTAATTGTGTTTGCAATCATGTAAGATGTTTCAACGTTTATTGTTATGTGAGTTTTATATTCATTAAACTTAAATTGTTTCTGACTGAAAATATTCTTCCATTACGGTAACTTTTTAAGAATTTTTCAACTTCAAATACCACTTGGTAAGCAAACTCCATACAAGGAACACTGAAATAAAGGGGAATAAGATTACAATACTCAATATATGAAACAATGATGTATGAGTCTTTTCTTTGATAATTTTCATCTAAATTCAGCTATTATTATAATTATTATAACACATGTCTGCTGTTTTTATCGTGGGGTTTATAATGACAAACTGGTTCTGAATATGTACATATGTGATAATCCTACTTTACAGTATATGTGGAGAGAAATTCAGAATTGCTATTCCATTTTACCTTCTTATTTTCAATGCCTTGAACGTAATTCAGTGTAATTACAGAATCGTAACTTGTGTTGTCGTCTTAGAGTGATTAAACGTGCATTTAAAACTCTCCCTGAACAGGAAGTCTAAAGTGGAATAAATGAGGAAATCTTGCCTTTTAAAAATATTTATGTAACTCCAAACAAAAGGAGTGGACCTCTCCTCTATCTCTTTCGTTAAATGAACAATGTGCCCGGGAAAGCCTCACGTCTGAGCACCGAAAGAGCACCCTCTCTCCGCGGTGTTCAGAAGGCAACAGGAAATGAAAACCAATGAGAAGTAAGCACGAACTTCTGGCAGGAAGATTCTGTATCCGGATTCAAAACGGCATGAGGGGCAAAGATTGAAAGAAGATAGTCACAGAGAACATTTTTAGCTGAGCACAATGCATTATTTTACATTTCGACCAAGCTACACGGAAAGGACTAAACATTACAAATAATACATTTTGCTTAAAAGAGATTCACTTTTTAAAAAAATCGAACAGATGTACTCCTGAAGGTTGGATTGACATTTGCTTTTTGTAGCTATCATCATTTCCAACATAGAGAAATTGGCTAATTAGAAGAATCTCTCCATAAATACAGCATTTGTAAGTTTATTTTCTTCAGCCTATTAGAGGAGAGCACCTATGGGTATCATTGTGATGTTTTATATTAAATCTATCCCTCAATCTATGTTTAATCTCTTTCACATATATCTAAAAGCAGGAGTGGGTAACATTCAAAGTATTTGGGTACTGGTAAGGCAAGGGCAACAAGAAATCCGAGCCGCAGCAGCTAGTAACCGACAGCCTAGCTTTTCCTGTGCCAAATGGAGCATTCCTTCAGTGCCACCATTTTCAAATACAAAGGAAAAAACACCTGTCCCATGAGCTGATCAAGATAGACATGTTTTTGTGTGAAAAATTTGAGATCCAAAAGGATCTTTGGTTTGTTATTGCATCCACTGTTAGATCTCACAGGACTAGGAATAAAATTCAAATATTGAGTTAAAAAGAAGTATGTTTCAGCTGTACAATACTGAAAAAGAGGTAAGATAACAATGCATCTGCAAAGCACTTGAAACTTTCATTGAGTTTTAAGCACCACAGGAATGCACAGAGCATTATAACCCATAGCACATATTGTTAAAATGTTGTGTTGACATCTGGGGAATTGTTTAATTCGAAATATGGGCAGAGAAAAACAGCTAGGATTGCAAAGAACCTGGAAACCTTGTGATGAACAAACCCTAAATATCTATGATGAGAACAAGAATATTTAGGCAACATGTTACTAGCTTCCAAGGATTTGAAAGGATAACTCGAAGAAGAGGGAGCAGGGTTGGTCTATGCGATCCCAGGGGATAGAATTAGAACAATAGGTCTTTTTCCAGTTCCGAAAATACTTTGCTGCTCAACCCAACAACTTGATAACATTTTGAGCTGTTCAATGAAAGGTTGCCTCGGGTAGCTAGTTTTACAATACTGAAGGTATTAAACGGAGCCTGGTCAATAATAATGAGGGATGCTGCCCAAGGATTCAAGCATTAGATGAGGAGTCTGACAAGATGATTGCATTAGAATGGTGAGAGCTTATTGCAGGAAGATTCCTTACAGCCCTAAGACTATTTGATTACACCTTAACAAGTAGAGGGGTGAGCTGGAAGCAGGTTTGACACTCCAGGGCGCTGACTGGCTTGGAGGTGCATTTCTCCTAATGAAGGCCTCTTGCAATACACAGCGTTGCTTCTGAGAAACCAGCAGGGCCTGTTAGTTCTTTTCTCTGCATTCCTGTTTAGCCTGTAGCTACACCCATGAAACCATTTTCTGAGCATCCTGCGGAGCCCGTTTAAGCTGTTGCTAAACAAGAAACAGGGACAACCATTATAAAGTAACAAACACACGAGGCTCATAACAATTCGTCCGTATACAGAAATAGGTTCTCCTATAGACACTCACGTATACAGTCCTCAGAACCACCTCGATGGCTCCTAGAAGAAAAGACAGTGTTGTTTTAGATCTTGATTTTAAAGTTTAGAGGCAGCTGTACCATCACACAGTCTGCTTGGAATTCTCAAGAGTCAACTTTTGGCGGTGAGTCATATAGGAAATGTTTTTAACCTTTGCATTCATTTTCTTCCTTCTCATTCTAGGAAGCATATGTTAGTATGTTTCTGTGCTTGTCTGCGTGTGCAGGAAGCCATTGCTTTGTGTCTGGTGGTCTTGGTCCCAGTGCATAGTGAAACGGAACCAGAGTTGAACGGTACCATTTGCAGAGTAAGACTGATTGAATAGATAGGTGTACCTCCCAAAAAGAGAAGCTCCTTGGAGCGCTCCATAATGTTTAAGGTGGTAAAAGAGTCTTGAGGCCCAAACTTTGAGACTTGCTACGTTTTAATATACTTTTTAAACAGTGGCATACTATTCCATTGTACAGATACATGACCATTTATTAAACCAATTTTCTATCATTGGATTTTTGGGTTGCTTCTGTTTTTCACTTTAAAGCTCACTGAAAATGAGTTCTTAGTACAGACACCTTTGTACACATTTCTGATCATTTAAGATGCATGCATAGCAGTAGAATTGCTGAAGAGGTATACACTTATACACTTGTAAGTTTATATACATTTATATGTAAGTATAGACAAAACTTGATATTTTCCCTAGCACCATTGTCAGCATCCTTTCGAGAGCTCTCTGTAATTCAGCATTACTGACAACGCACTGTCCTCTCTTTTCACCTTTCCTCAATCTCTTTCATCTGTTTGCTTCTCTAAAGTTCCCTTTTTATTTCCTCTGCCTATACCTGACACTTGCATAAAGGGTTTTGCAAGTTGTTGTACTTGACCTTCAATATCCACTCCCATTTCCCCTTTTTCTAGATAACTTTTAAATGTAGATCATTTCTCTAAAACTTGTTCAAGCACTTAGTCTTTCCCGCCAATTTTCTACTGAGTCTCTCCAACAAAAGTCCCATTCAAAACTCTCTTACTCTTTGCATGGTCAACACCTTCTCATCCTTTAGGATTCAGAGCTTAAATATTCCCTCCTAATGGAGATTTTTCCTGCTTTCCTAACCCCAGTTTGTTTTCTTCATTACAAAGTGTAATGATTTTTTTTTTTTAAAGATTTTATTTATTTGACAGAGAGAGACACAGCGAGAGAGGGAACACAAGCAGGGGGAGTGGGAGAGGGAGAAGCAGGCTCCCCGCGGAGCAGGGAGCCCGATGCGGGACTTGATCCCAGGACCCTGGGATCATGACCTGAGCCGAAGGCAGACGCTTAACAACTGAGCCACCCAGGCGCCCCAAAGTGTAATGATTTTAATTTATTTGTATCTCACTGTTTTTTTGTCTACTTCCGCACTAAACCATACACTTCTTTTTTCTTTTTTTCTTTTTTTTTTTTTTAAACCATACACTTCTTGAAAGCAAGAATATAATCTATCTCGTTCAACATTATATCTTCAGCACCTGAAATAGTGCCTGGCAGGTGCCGTAGTCCCCCCTTATTCTCTGTTTCACCTTTTGCGGTTTCCGTTACCTGTGATCAGTTGTGGTCTGAAAATATTAAACGAAAAATTCCAGAAATAAACAATTCATAAGTTTTAAATTGCATGTCATTCTGAGATCTCACACCCACCCGTTCCACCCAGCGCAGGACGCGAATCATCCCTCTGTCCAGTGTACCCACAATATAAATGCTACCTGCCCGTTAGTCCCTTAGTAGCCATCTTGCTTATGAGATTGGGAGTCATGCTATTGCAGAGCTTATTCAAGTAATGCTAATTTTAGTTCATAATGGCCTCAAAGCACAAGAGTAATGATGCTGACAATTTGGATATGCCAAGGAGAAGCTAAAAAATGCTTTTTTTAAGTGAAAAGTTGAAAGTTCTTGATAAGGAAAGAAAAAGATTGTATGCTAAGGTTGCTAAGATCTACAGTAATTTTTATTATGTATATTGCTCTAATTGTTCTATTTTACTATTAGTTATTGTTGTTAATCTCTTACTGAGCCTAATTTATAAATTAAACTTCATAACAGGCATGTATGTATAGGGGAAAAAATCAGAGTATATATAGAGTTGGGTATTTTCCTCAGTTTCAGGCATCGACTGGGGGTCTTGGAACGTACTCCCCAAGTATGAGGGGGGGACTACTATATTCATTAGGTATTTGTTGAATGAATGAATGCATGAATGTTCCTGTACAGAATGGAATCCCCATATAATCTCCCTCCACAGTGGTGGATAACTTGATTTGGGCATTTATATGCATGCCTTGAACCATATTCCTTTATCTATTTCCTTTGCTGTAATGTCTTCTTGAACTTATAAATGCTCATTGTAAAAAACTTAGACCACATGAAAACATAAAGAACATAAAAATCATTTCAATACAAGAAAAATGTGTCACTTCATCAACTGCTCTCACAGTACTTTGTCCCCATTGCTATTATAGGAATTATCACAGCTGTAAATGGTCTGTTTCCTCGACTAGATTCTAATCTTCTTAAGGATAGGAAGCTTCTAAGGATAGGAATCTCCAGACATTGCCTGCTCAGATTTTCTAAATGAATATTACCATTGTAAACGTGACTCCACTTTTCAAAGCAAATCATGACCATGTCATGTATCATTGACAAAAAATAAGAGATTAAGTGTTATGGGTTGAATTGGATCTGTATGCCCATGCCACCAAAAAAAAAAAAAAAAAAAAAAAAGCTGAGGTTCTGTCTGTACCTCCAAATGTGACCTTATTTAGTAATGGGGTCCCTGCAGATGTAATTAGTTAAGTTCACATGAAGTCATACTAGAGCAGGGTGGGCTCCTAATCCAAATCAACTGCTGTCCTTATAAGAAGATGGCCCCGAGAAGGCAGAGACACATAGGGAGAATGCCAGGTGGGCACAAAAGCAGAGATTGGAGTTATACGGCTATAAATCAAGGAACACCAAAGATAACCAGCAAACCACCGGAAGCTAGGAGGAGACAAGGAAAGATTCACTTTCAGGTTCCAGAAGGAGCATGGCCTGCCCACCGCTCAATTTCAGACTTCAAGCCTCCAGGACCGTGAGACAATAAACATGGGGTGTTTTATTTTATTTTGTTTTAAATCTTTTATTTATTTATTTGAGAAAGAGACAGAGAGCATGAGCAGGAGGAGGGGCAGAGGGAGAAGCAGACTCCCTGCTGAGCAGGGAGCCCGACGTGGGGCTTGATCCCAGGACCCCGAGATCACGACCTGAGCCAAAGGCAGCCACTTAACCGACTGAGCCACCCAGGCGCCCCAACATGGGGTGTTTTAAATCACACAGTTTGTGACACTTTGCTATGGCAACCCTAGCAAACTCATACAATAAGCTATTATTATTAAACACTCTGCCTAATCATTTAGGGCCAAGGTCAAAATTTGCGTGCTTTTATTGATTTGCTGGCATCAGAATAAAGGAAGAAATCAATTAGATGGTGTTTTTCATTCATTCTTTCTTTCTTCTGTGGTTGTTTGAGTTCAAAAAATACAGTTGCTACTAACTGGGAGTTGCACAATATGAGGGGAAGTTCCCTTCTCTGAGTTAGACAACACTTTCATTCTTGTAATCTCAAGGAGATAGCACTTTCATGGTACAGAAAGAAACTGGTCAAGGGTTTTACATGCTCATTCACTTCTTATTACACACTTATAAGTGCCA